CCCCTGTTCCGCCGCCGATTGGTTGCCATCGGCCGTCATTTGGGGACTAGAGGCGGCTTGGGCACAGAAGGGCTTGTTTAGTGGGTGGAATTCGAACGTTGAGGATTAATGGGCCCTTGCGGCCAGTGGGGAACGGAGAGGGACTGCTGTGTGCGCAGCTCTACTGAGCGGCTGACCTGCCGTCCACGAACGCACCCACCAGTGTGCTGTCGCACGCGTCGCGCTGCGTAGGCGTTTTGTCACCGTCGCCGCCTTTGGTGGCAGCACCGAAGTCGCCTGCCCTGGAGCCCGACGTAGTTCGAGCCAGGGACTTGGGATAAGAGGCACAGCAGTGGCATCTTTCACGCGAGCCTGCCAGGCGACACATTCCCCCAGGGGAGGAACAAACTGCCCTGGCGGAGCTCGGGCGTGGGAAGCGGGTGCGACCTGTCACCTCGAGCAGGTGGCTTAGTGGAGGCGTGTGGAAGGGCAGGGAGATCGCGGAGGACGCGGGGCTCGGCACTGCCTGCGAGACACAGTTTGGGAGCTGAGACCCAGCAGGTCACCATCCAGAAGCGGGGACTGGGAAGTAGTGGCCCAGCAGTTCTGCTTCAAGAAAATCTGGAGAGCACCGGAAGAGTTTGGGCCAACAAGGTGCTCAAGACAGGAATGCTTGTGGAGGCGACCTCTCCTGATACCAGTCAGCACCCAGGGCCTCTTGTGCCCTTGGTATGCTTGACAAGGAGTCTTCCGGGTCCGAGTGGGCACCCATTTCTTTATTGAACACCTGCTTGTGCCGGGCACCGAGTGAGACAGCAGAGTGCCATTCTTGTGGGGATGATACCTGCTGAACATGCAGCTAAATACAGCGTGACTGACACAGCTTTACCCTGCGGCACTCGCCCTTGTGGAAGTTTAGAAAAGAACATCTTCAGTGAGTTCAAAGTCTTGAAGAGGGACTGTGCCCCGCAAGTTGGGGACCAATAAGGAGGCCAGTGTGGCTGGACAGTCGTGGGGAATGTGGTTTGGTGAAGCCTCCTGGGCTCCCATGCCAACTGGGAGTTTATTCCGAGATGAGACCTTGGAAGGGCTTTGAGCCCTCAGACCTGTGTTGAACTGGCTGTGGTGAGGCAGAACTAGGCTCAAGAGGCGAGAGGGGAGTCCAGAGCCTTGGCAGCAGCGTGTGACAGAGAGATTTATCAGGGAGCGTGGGGTTCTGAGAAATTGTGTGTTTCAAGATATATCTTCATGCCGGGCCTGGTGGTGCACACTTGTCATCTAGAAGGAGAAAGAGAGAGAGGGAGAGAGGGAGGGAGGGGGAGGGAGAGAGAGAGAGAGAGAGAGAGAGAGAGAGAGAGAGAGAGAGAGAGAGAGAGAAATAAGAAAAGGAAAGAAAGAAGAAAGGTAGAAAGGGAATGTGAAATCTGTGCAGAGCTAGGGCTCCAGCATGGACACTGATCAGCCCTGAACAGTTTCTCCCTCAACCTGGCTTGTGGGGTTGTGATCCACTCTCCACAGTCCCCTGCCCTGCACAGAGGACAGACCCATTTGCCCAACAGCATATGAAATCAATCCACAATAGCTTTCCAGCCATTCTTTATTAGATACAAACCCACCAGTGAAAATCATCAGAAATGGGAAGAAAGATTTCAACTTGAAAAACAAGCAAGATAGCACAGAAAAAAAAAAATGAACTTGGAACCCCAGAAACTGCAGGGCATATATGAAAACATTTATAATTATTACATTCAGAGGACTGAAAGAAAATATTGTATCCATAAAACAAGAACAGAATACTGTGTAAAAAGAGCAATCAGAGTACAAGAAAGAATTTTTAGACATTAAAATATGCTTACAGGGCTGAGGGTGGAGCTCGGGGAGAGGGCTTGCCTAGCATGTGCAAGATCCCAGGTTTAGTCCCCAGCACTGCAAAAAATAATTATTGAAGTTTGAGTTCCAACAGAACATTTGCAAAATAAAACTGAAGAAGCCACTGAGAAAATAGAGCAAAACAGCAGGGACAAAAAAATATATATGAGAAAAAAATGTAAGAACTTTGAGGATTGATGTAGGAAGTCCAGCAAGCAACAAGAATTTTTGCAAACTAGCTGGGGATTTAGCTCAGTGGTGCCTCCACCACCTCACAAGAGCAAGGTCCCAAGTTTGATCCCTGGTACCGAAGGTGGGGGGAGAATTTTTGCAAACTAAAGAGAAAAAACAGGAGTCAGAATAGCAGTAGATTTCATAATAACACGGGATGATGAGCAGTAAGAAGCAGTGGAGTTCTGAGAAATTGTATGTTTCAAGAGAAGATGATAAGGTAATGCTTTCAAAATTCCAAATGATTTTTAATATAGATTCCTTTACCAGCTAAAACCTCCACCAGGTGTGACAATGGAATAAAAATAGTTTTAGATATACAAGAGCTAAGAAAATGTACCTGTCAACTGTGCTGTTATGGCTTGTGTCTAGATGTCTTCCCAAAGCCTCATGTGGTCATAGATGGGGCTTTTCCAAAGTGACTGGATCTAGAGTGTGTGACACTGGGATTATGAGTGTGTGATTACTAAATCAGTCCACTGTTTGGACTGGCATAGTTCCAAGTGTGGATAATGGAAAGACCCCCTGGGTGTGAGTGCTACCCACATTAAAGGCATGTAGCCTGGATAGAATATAAGGAACAGAATGAGGACTGCTATTGTCACTTGTTGCTTGCTGCTTGCTGCTTCATTACTTTGCTGCCTTGCTGCCTTCTGCCCACCATGAACTGTCACACCATCCTGTGTGGCACTCTCTGCCATGCCACCCTGCCTTGGAGCCAGCCAACTATGAAATGAAACCTCTATAAGCTGTAAACCAAATAAACCTTTCCTCCTTTAACTTTGGGTGTTGTTATTTTGTCTCAGCACCAAGAAAAGCAACTAAGACATATGGTTTCTGAGCAAGTTACTTGAGGATGTTCTGTAGCAAAACAAAGATATGAACCAAGAAGGAGAAATCTATGGAATCTTCAATGGGATCTATACCAGGAAAGCAGAGACCAGGGACACCAGCTGGGCAGAAGTCCCCGTAAGAGGCGGATGGTATGCTCTGGAAGACAGACATTCAATAATTAAAAACACTTGTTTTAAGAGTGTGGACATGGGGTAAGGGGGCACTCCCCCTCCTTGGTCCCACACATGTGCATGTGTGCGTGCATACATGTGCATGCATGCACTAGAAAGAGAGAGGGAGATTGGGACAAGGGTCCCTGCTTCCCTGCTGGGTCAGGGTCTCTGATTTTGGCCTTTATGGCACTGTGACCAACAATCTTGTACAGGTATCTTGTGTCCACTGGGGCAGATGCACTGTCCTTCCTGTCCCAAAGCTGGGTAGTAGAGCCCAAGGGACAGGTATGGCAGGGCTTCGAAGAGTTGCTTCCCTGGCCCTCAAACCCCTGTCCCTGCAGGGTGCCTGGAAGTAGACCCTGGGCCCTTGGACTGAGAGCAGGAGGCTGAGCTATTCATCCTGCAGGGTAGCTCAATTTTTTTTGGACCAGATAAGAGTACTTTTTCAGGCACCAAGTCCCTTTCTTGTTTGGGTCCCTGTGGGTGATCTATTGTCCTCAGGGGGAGGATCTCTGGTCTGGACATGAGGGTGGCAGTTGAGTTATTCTGCTGTGGTTTGGATTTTCTTTGGGACAGAGGGACAGAGGACCTCCCCCACCCTGGAGAGGAAGGGGACCCAGGTTCCCTGCCCAAGATCTCCTGGTCATTGGCTGCACGCAATTTTTAGAACTTGATTGGCTTGTTCAGCCTTCCTGTCTCCTGACTGGGGGGGGGGGGCTTTGGGGTCTAGGTGACGCTCATCTGCGCCTGCCTGTTCCATGCTCTGTCCTGGGGAGATCCAGGGACCAGGCCTGGGATCCTGGCAGAGGGGCCAGGGCCTGCCCTTCTGGAACTGGGCTCGGAAAGTCTCATCCCCCCATGTCTCGCTCCCAGGTGTATTGTCGGGGGCTCCCCAGCCTCCAGTGGCAGTGTTAGTGAGATGCCTTAGTCAGCAGGTGGGGGGCTGGGGCAGTATGTTCCCTGTGTCACTGGATGTGTCCCGCTAGGTCTTGCGTGTCCCTGGGCTTGCCCTCTGCAAGGGGTAGGACTGCTGTTCCAGGGCCCAGGAACCCCAGAATAGCGGTGTCCTCAACCCATGTCTGCTATCCAGGGGTTTGGAGAGACCCAAGCCTGTTCTTACCCCCAGGAGCAGTCCCATGTGTGGCCTCTGAAGGGTGGAC